TATACATTCATCAACGCACTCAAGATGATAAGCACAGTTTGATTTTTGGTTTTTTTTTTTTTTTTAATACCAGTGATCGAACTCAGTTCTTTGCGCTTTCAAGGCAGGCGGCAGAACCACTGAGCTAAATCCCTGGCCCGATAAGCACATTTAATCACTCCTAAAACTTTATTTTTTGGGTGTGCGATTGAATCCTGAGCCTCCTTCATGCTAGGCAAGTGCTCTACCACTAAGCTACACACCAAGCCCGCCTAATGCTTTTAGAAGATAGTGAACATTGGCTGGAACAAAAATAAACTAAAACGTATTACTTAACTATCATAAAACTAGATCAGGTGTGGCACATGCCTATTAATCTCTGGAAAGCTGAAGCAGGAGGATTAAAAATTCAAGCCAGATTAAAAAAAAAAATTGAAGCCATCTGGGCAATTTAGTGACTTAGTGAGATCCTGTCTCAAAATAAAAAAGGACTGGGGTTGTAGTTCAGTGTGAAGGTCCTGGGTACAATCCCTAGTACCACCAAAAACAGTAATAATAACAATGAATAGGCATGAAATAAATTTAAATTCAAATTATTAAAGCGTGACTATGTAAGTTTCTATCATTTATACTTTTGTTTATACTTTTGAAGTTTTTGTTTGTTTGCTTTGTTAGGTTTTGTTTTTTGTGTTTGGTACTGGGGATCGAACTCAGGACCTTGTGCTTGTGAGGCAGGCGCGGCACCACTGAGCTAAATCCCCGGCCCCTTGTTTTAGCTTTTTTTCTTTTTTCTTTTGTTTGTTTTTTGAGACAGAGGGTCTCACTATTTAGTTGAGACTGACCTGGAACTTACTAGGTAGCCCAGGTTGGTCTCGAACTCACAGTGATCCTCCTGACTCAGCCTCCCAAGTGCTGAGATTACAGGTGTGCAGCGCCACACACAGCTTGTTTTAGCTTTTTGAGACAGGGTCTTGCTCTGTAATTCAGGCTGCACTTGAACTCACTATGTTGCCCAGGCTGGCCTCAAAATTTTGATGATCCTCCTGCTTCAGCCTCCTAAGTGCTGGGATTACAGGTGTGTGCCACTACACCCGGCACTTTTGAAGTTATTAAAGATTAAAAATTTATTAAAAGAAGTGCATGATGACTTTGGGACTACTTTACAAGTAGTACAGCTCTCCAACCCTAAGCCTGGAGCTGAGCTCAGTCTTCAGTAGGGTGACTCCCCGCAAAGTGCCGAGAGGTGGTGGGAAGCAGGGGCAGCCTGGCTGGCTGGTCTGTGGGAACCTCTGAGCAGCTTCCTGGGTGGGAGGAGAGGGCATCCTGCTGGTGGTCTCTTTGTTTGTTTCACAAAACCGTCCCATTCCTCGGAGTTCCCAGGCTGGCCAGCCTCACCTCCTGACCCTGTGGGAAGCAGGAATCCAGGCTGGGCTCCCCCTAGGAGGGGATCGGGAGCCAGAAGAGCCTGAGCTCCAGAGGCCAAGGCGCCTGGCCCTAGAGCTGGATGGATCCCAGAGTGGCACCAGCCCAGCACAGGCCACAGTTCCTTCGAGGATCACTAGAGGGTGGAGGGAAGAGCGTGCTGTCAGTAATGCATGCAGCAGCTGCAATAACACACAGGAGCTGGTGTGAGACACTGGCATGGCAAGACACATGTCCCCCACCAACTGCTCAGGGGCATGAGATAAAGGTCCTAAGTCCGGAGGAAGGTGGTGACACAGAGCTTCTCTCCTTTTGGTGGCCACTGGCCAAGCAGGCTGCCTCATCCTCACCTGTGTCCTCAAGTGTAGACACTGGGATACATGTATTCATTCAACAAACTAGTACTTAAAACCCCCAACTTGAAACTATACTACAAAGCCACTGTGATGAAAACAGCATGGTACTGGCAAAGAAACAGACCTCAGTATCAGTGGAATAGCTTAGAAGATGCAGAAAGGACTCCAGACATACTCAGCCACCTTATCTTTGACAAAGGAGCTAACCATCCTCAGTGAAAGAAAGATAGCCTCTTCAATAAATTATGTTGGAAAAATTGGATTTCAACCTGCCAATGATTAAAACTAGACCCCTATCTTTCACCATGCACTAAACTAAAATCCAAGTGAGTTAAAGATCTAACTATTAAGGGCCAGGGATTTAGCTCAGCGGTTCAGTGGCCTGCCTTGCAAGCGCAAGGACCTGAATTCAATTTCAGGTACCAAAAAAAAAAAAAAAAAATGCTGGAAGATAAATTAGGCAGAACTCTCAAAGACATTGGCATAGGAAAAGACTATGAACAAATCCTCAGTAGCATGGGAACTAGCAAAAAGAATCAACAACTGGGATCTCATCTTATTAAAAAGCTTCTGCATTGCAAGAGAAATCACAAGCAGAGCTAAAAGACAACGTACAATGTGGGAAAAATTTGTACCTGCTGTTCCTCAGACAAAGGCCTACTATCTAGAACATATAAAGGACTAAAACAAAATCAGACCCCTCAAATGTGAAGACCCGATTGAAAAATTGGCATCTGAAATGAACAGACATTTCTCAGACAAACAAGTAAAAGCAGCAAACAAATGCATGAAAAAAATGTTCAACATCACTAGTCATTTGAGAGGCGCAGATGAAAACAACACCGAGATTCTACCTCACCCCAGAAAGAATGCCTGCTATCAAGAAATCAACCAAACAAATGCTGGCGGGGAGAAAGGAACCTTTCTCCACTGTTGGTGGGAGTGCAGATTGGTGCAACCACTGTGGAAATAGATATGAAGATACCTCAAAAAACTAGGATTAGAGATCCCATTTGATCCAGCCAATTCCTCTGCTGGGTATCTTCTCAAAAGAATTAAAAGAATCATATTACAATGGTATATGTGCACCCATGTTTATAGCAGCACAGTTTGTAATAGCTAAAGCTTGGAAACAGCCAATTTGCCCATCAAGTGGAGACTGGATAAAGATGTGTTTTTTTGTTTGTTTTTTTTTTTAAATAAAATGGAGTACTACTCAGCCATAAAGAATGAGAAACTAGAGACATATATAGCTAAATGGAGGCCATACTCTTAAGTGAAATAAATAGGACACACGTGTAAATACTGAAGCATTTCCCTGGTGTGAGAAACTAAAAGTATAAATAAGGATCAAATGTACAATTGATAATGTGAAATAGGAAGAAAAGGTCTAAATGGGGTAGGGGAAATGGGAGGGATAGGAGAAAGGAAAGAAGGGAAAGGGAAAAAATATGAGAAAAGGAAAACATGGAAACAAAGTCTTTCTAAATAGACAGGGGTGGAGGGTTTGAAGGGAGGGCAGGGGAATGGGGAAAAACTAAGAACCAAGACACATCATGTAAAGGTACAGTTCCCAACGATGAATGTAACTGTACTATATACCTAAAATGTACCAATAAATTTAATGAGAAAAAGCCTGAATACTTCAAGAACAGTGCTACATGTGTAAACTCAGCCCTCTAGGAGGCTGAGGCAGGAGGATGGCAAGTTTAAGTCCAGGCTAGTCAACTTGGTGGCTTAGTGAGATGCTGTCTCCAAAATTTAAAAAAGATCTGGGGATATAACTCAGTGAGATGGCCCAGTACCAAAAAAGAACAATTCTGAGACTTGGAGGTCTGGTGATAAACTAAACACGCAGGAAATCTAGCTGAGTCCAGGGATAGATGGAAAATAAACAGCACCAGAGTTGGGCACAGTGGCACACACTTTAGTCCTAGATCTTGGGAGGCTGAGGCAGGAAGGTCACAAGTTTGAGGGCAACCTGACTACATAACAAGACCCTGTCTCAAAAGAAAGAAAAGGAAAGAAACAAAGTAAAATAAATACAAACAATATTTTTTAAAAAGTCAACTTCTGACTATGGAAATGCCAAGAGACAAAAACAACCAGAGTAGGAGGTCAGTTTAGATAGGGTGTGCTGGTAAAGGGCTTTCTGTGCAGGGGAGGTGCTAAGTGACTGTGTGTGACAGCATCCAGGGTGGGTTTCCAGCTCAGAACAACTCAGGGCATGTCACACATTACAACCTGCAGGTGTCCCACCTTGGCAGGCCAGGCCGTTAACCCGCTCAGCCTCCGCTCCCTCACTGGTGACATGGGAGTGAACACCCAGTGTCCTTCACAGAGCTGACGGGAGGGCTGAGGTAGAAACACCAGCACATCACACTGTGCACATACCTGAGCCAGCTTCCTAGAACCCTCGGTTGGTCCCAAGCACTCCCAAGTATGCATTTCCTGATTCCTGGGCATCTCCCTTCATCCAGCACATCCAAGGGCCCCAAACTCCTTGGTCTTCAGGGCCAGGCAAATGCATGTGGTAAGTTAACGGTGCAGTGGAGACTGACATACTGTGGGGACCCTGCTGAAGAGAGCAGTGACCGGTCGGCTTCAGAGAATGTTCACCGTATTGAAACGCGGACCATGGGTGGGGGATTTAGCTCAGCGGTTCAGTGGCCTACCTCACAAATGCAAGGAC